GAGGGGGAGGGGGCCGGGTCGGGCGACCCCAGACATGATCGCTCGCAAACAAATCAGGACGGGAAATTGTTGGCTGTTTTCGGCCCCAGAGGCCCCTCGCCGGGCCTCAGGACCGTCAAAAAACGACTCAGGACGAAAAACCGGTCCCGGGGAAAGGGTCGGGACTTCCAGGGATGCCGTCCTGAAGAAATCAGGACGTCGCATGTCTGGGACAAGGGGGCGGGGACGTTCGCGAATCGACCGCCCTGTGGCAGATGCCCCTGATGGCAGAGCAAATCTGTTTTGGCGGCGCGCAGCGGGGGGTACGGGGGAGGGGGGAAGGCTTCTCGAAGGGGGCTGCTCCTCAGAAGGCGCTGGCCCTACATCTATTATAGAGAAGGGCCTCGCCTTCTGAGAAGGAGGGGTGCTTCTGAGATGCCTCTCCCCCCTCCCCTTACCTCCCTCTGCGCATGGCTGAATGCCTGCCCCCCCTCCCCTTACCTCCCTCTGCGCGTGGCTGAACGTTATATACCCAGACATGCGACGTCCTGATTTTGTTCAAGACGGTGTCCCTGGAAGTCCCGACCCTTTCCCCGGGACCGGGTTTTCGTCCTGAGTCGTGTTTTGACGGTCCCGAGGCCCGGCGAGGGCCCCCCGGGGCTGAAAAGAGCCCCAAACCTGCCGTCCTGATGTTGTTACGACGCGATCGCGTCTGGGTCGTATACCGTTCTTCGTCCGCTGATGCAGCTCACGCAGCCGGTCTCTAACCACAGCGCCTCTCGGCGCGGGGGCGCCCACGTGTATCGGGGCGCAGCGATTTTTCCCAAGCGGATATGCAGCCGCGGCGACGGGAAGCCGCAGCGAGGACCAGAACGAAGAGTGAGAAACAGAAACCGAAGCTCGATCCTCCACATATCGACGGCCCGAGATCGGGCGTTGCTAGACGTGCCCCTGGCCCAGGGTGCCCCCAGGATTCTCGGGGTGGCCCAGGCGGCCTCCAGAGCACCCCCCTCACGAGGCCCAGAGGGCCCCAGGGGCCCCAACATGGAGCGAAAAGCTGGGGGTACCTTGGGCCAGGGGCACTTCTAGCAACACCCGACGAGAGCAGGGGGGCGCCGACCTTCGCTTTGGATTCGCATGCATGCCCGCTGCTGAAAAAATGCCGGTCTCCCAGCAGATGGGATGATGTTTTTTTTCCACCACCACCACCACCATAAGTTGGAGGGGGGGGGGTCCTTCTCCTCCTCCGCCTCCTCCTCCTCCTCATCTTCGTCGTCGTCCTCCTCCTTCTCCTCCACCACCTCCTCCTCCTCCTCCACCTCCTCCTCCTCCTCTTCCCTCCAACTTATGGCGGTGGTGATGGAAAACAGGCCCATCATGGGAAGGGAAGACCGACGAGTAAGAGGAGGAGGCGAGAGCGAGGGGGGCGCCGAAATACTGCGCGTGCATGCGGGTGAGCGGCAGGCCGAAGCCGTACCCGGCCAGCTCGGCGGGGGCCAGCGGGCCGGCGGGGGCGCCCGGCGGGACGCCGGCCTCGTCGGTGCGGTCCCAGCTGCAGGACTCCTCCGCGAACATGGACGCCTCGCGCAGCCCACTCCTGCGAGGGGCGGCGCGCCCATAATAGGGGAGGCGGGAGAGGGGGGGGGGGGGGCACGCCTTTGCAGAAGACGGCGGGGCTTCTCTCAGGCCGGGCGTGTCCTCCTACAGGGGGATTAGAGGAAAAATTAGAAATACCCTGAACAATTCCCCACAATATTCAAAAATGACAGATAGAAAAATGATAGAAGGGCTTAAGGCTTCTCTGACACCGTCGGGCCTTCTGGCACGCCGTCTGTGGCCCACGCCTTCAGTGGGGCGCCGGACTGCGCCGGGGGCGTCCACAGAGGGGGGCATCCAAGAGGGGGGCTCGTGACCCGGCGCATGTGCGCTGCCCGAGGGTGGGGGGGGGGGGGGCAAAGGAGGCATTGAAACAAGAAGCCCGATGCCGCAGGCGTCGGAAAAATGGGGGGGGGGGAGGGGGGAAAAAAACAACCACCGCTTATCGGGGGTGAGAAGGCGTGCGAGATGATTGGCTGTTCCCCCCCCCATCCCCCTTCCCCCTCTATTGGAACCCAAAATGCTGTTTGAAGGGGGGGGGGGGCGCGAGGGCACGAGCTTTAGGTCGGGCCTGTCCCCCTACGGGGGGATTTTGGGTGAAAAATTTAAAATACTCGGGCAAATACTCCAAACATATCCAATAATTATCAAAACGTCGTCCCCATATGATTTTGTTGAATACTTTTGAATCCTTCCCGCGCAGAGGGACAGGCCCGACTTGACACGAGCTCCCGAATGCATCCCCCGGGGGCCCCCGGGGCCCCTCCAAAAACCCCAAGACGCGCGAAGACGGCCCAGGACGGCCCGAACGAAGCGCCACGACTGTCCAAGCAAGCGCCGATATGGCCCAAGGTGGCCCCACGGCTCTCCAAGCTGGCTTCGCGGCGGCCCACGACGCGCCCAACACAAGCAGGAGGCTGCCCACAGAGGACCGCCGAGACGGCCCCCCCGGGAGGCGACACTCGTCCCATTTTTGCTGGAAGACGCACATTTTCAGCACGCTCGCCTGTTGCGTTTTCAGAGCGTCCAAGACGGCGCAGGGGTCTCCGAGATCGTCCCGAGCTCGCCCGAACGCGGCCGAAGAGAGCTCCAGAACGGCCCCAAGGGCTCTCAAGACGGCCCAAGGCAGCTCCACCCGAAACCTCACGACGGCCCCAGGGACTCCCAAGACGGGCCAAGAGAACCCCAAGAGAGGCCCAAGAAGGGAAATGCGAACCGACATTGCGAGTCCTTCCCCCCGAGATGGCCCCAAGAGCCCCCGAGAAGCCCCCGCGACGCCCCCTGCAGAGGCCCCAGGAGCCCTCCACGAGGCCCCCGAGCTGGCCCCACGCGTCTCCAAAACGCCCCCAGCTGCCTCGACAAACGCTACAGGACGCTGCTGAAAAGCATTCCAAAACGATCCAACGTTCCAAGGTGCCTCCAAGAGACGCCCCAGACGCTCCCTGAAAAAGGAACGGGCTTCCAGGAAACCTCCATCCCACAAGCCACAGGCGGTGGCGGCATATCCCAACACCCGCAGCACCGTCACGCATTTCTTCAATTGTGTTCCATGGTTGCCTTTTGCGGCTTCCAACCCCGCGCCGCGGCTCAGAATCTGCTTCGCGCTTGCTGGGACCGGCCCGACGCGCCGTGTCGTCTCCCTCCTCCTCCTCCTCCTCCTCCTCCTCCTCCTCCTCCTTCGAGGAGGAGGAGGAGGAGGAGGAGGAGGAGGAGGAGGAGGAGCACTCTGCGCCTCTTTCTCCTTATCGTCGTGCCCCTCCTCCTCTGTCCCCTCCCTTTGCTCTCCGCCTCCCCGTCTGCCGCCGTCCTCTGCGCGTGCTCCCCGTCCGCCCCTCCTCTTGCCTCGTCGCTTCCTCCTCCTCCTCCTCCTCCTCCTCCTCCTCCTCCTCCTCCTCCTCCTCGTCGCCCTCTTCGATTTTTTGTCCGCGCAGCTCCGCACGCTCCTCCTACTCCCTTGGACACCGCCCGGCAGGCCCGCGGACCCGGCGACCTCGGCCCCCGCGCGCCCCTCCTGCCGCCCTGCGTCCCGGGGCGGGTGCGCGCGCCCCGTGCTCGGGAACGCCCGCGCACGGTCCTGCGCGACGCCGCGCGAAAAGCCGGTGCGGCACCGCGGAGTCCGCACGCGCGGGCAGAGACTCTCTGGGCTCCTCCCTCCTGCTGGGGGCCGGCGCGCTGGTGCAGGCCTCTCGAATCGAGACGCCGGATGTCTGGGTATAGGGCGGCGGTCCAGAGACACACGCTGGGGGCACCACGGGAGCTTCTGAGCTCGTGCTTTCTGTCGCCGGGGAAGAGCTCGGGGCTCTGCCCAGGGGTGCGTTCTGGTCAGAAACTCGGGGGGGGCCCAGCCGTGGCGACGAAGAGCGCATTCGAGAGAAAGCAAACAAAACTATAGGAGTGACCCCGTCCCCCCCCCCCGCAAGCGATGAAATAATTCAAACCTCGAGGTCTTTGAGGCCCTTCGAGGTTCGAGACGGTCACCGAGGGGCACCTCGGTTCTTTGAGGCCCTGCTGAGGGGCACCGATAGGGGGGGGCCAGCTCAGGGCGGGAAGCATCGAGCCAGAATCGGCCATTCACCGCCGATGGATCGGCGATGGGCCTCCGATGGTGAATCCTCGCGCTTCTGGGCGGGGGGTTGGGCCATCGGGCCCCCATCGGCGATGAAGGATCGCTGAGGGGGTCGATGCGTCCCCCCCTCTGAGCCCATGCCCCACGATCGCTGCCCCTGGGCCCTCGGGTCGGGTCATGTCTCGGCTCTCTGGCGGCCGCTCGGGGCGACCCAGGCACCGCCAGAACGCTTTCGGCAAGGCGCACCTGCTGCAAGGCACTCCCAAACGGGAAAACCGCCGAGAGCCAACGAAAACGCCCGAATACCTCCTAACCTCAGCCCCCCCCCCTGCGACTCCTAGACCTCTCCTGGGGTGCATTCTGCCTAGAACTTCGGGGCGGATCCAGCCGTGGCCACGAAGGCGCCCCTAAGACGATCAAAAACCTCCAGAAAGCGAAGCCCAGTCCTCGAACCTCTATCGGGAAGATGAATGTAAGCCTCGGGTTCGGGGGACTCGGGTTGGCCTGATGGGGCCGGGACAATGACGAGACCAAATATGAAATTTGGCACGACATCCTGCTGCAGACATCACACGGAAACTGGACCGTTCAGATCCAGGGCGGGCCCGTCAAAAAAGCGCTTGCAAACCCCAGCTCCGGCGAACTCGAGCCTTACGCGCTTCCCCGACCCTGATCCCATCCCCCCCTGCAATATTGCCCCTGAAGTTAGCTGCCCCGATACGCAACACGCAGCACGTATCGTATTGAGACGGAGCTCAACATGTAGGCTGAAAACGTCGGTCCGACGCGATACTTTCGCCAAAACGTGGTCCAATAAGTGAAGCCAACACGCAACGTGTTGACACCGACGTCTTCAACACGAGACGTCTTGCGTTTCAAAACGGGCGTATCGAGGCAACGACGCCCCTTGAGCAGTGCATGGCCAGCGCCGCCGCTCCTGGGCCGCACGGTGGTCCAGCCGTACTGCCAAGCCTCGCGCTGCACCCGCTTCGAGAGGCCGCCGCCCCGGTCCGAGATCTTGATGATCACGTGGCCGTCCGCCTGCTGCAGCTCGACCACCACCGGCGGCACGCCCGCCTCGCGTCGGCGCAGCGGGCGGGCTCTGCCAGCACCGACCGGGGAGGGATCGGACCGCATCGGCACGAGGGGAGCACAACGGCGCCCATGCAGGCATCGGGCCGCATCGGCTCGCCGGAGCATCGGAGTCGAATCGGAGAGGGCCCGCCGGAGTCGACATCGAATCGGATCGAGAGGATCGGAATTGGCCCCGAGAGGGCGCCCACAGCGCGCTTTGTGTCGTGGCGAATTGCGCGGTCGTCTCTGGCGCCGCGTGGATCGCGGGTTGACCGATGGCGCAAGATCATTCCATGTCGGCTGGTTTCGGGCCACGGGCGGCGTTCAGCCTTCAGCCTTCAGTCTCGAACGCACGCGGCGGGATGTCCGCCGCGTCGACACGACACGGACCTGCCGTGCAGTGCGGGCGCGGGCGCAAGAAAAATCGCAAGAAACAACATCCTGAAAACGAAAAAAACACATCGCGCGATGTGCAACAAGGGGGAACCCAGGGCAGCCTGAATGCAGCAGTTGCGAAACGCCTGCGGTAAGTGACCGCGCAGCGCGCGGAGCGAAGAAGCCCGAGGTGCGTGATTACGCCGACGAACGGCTCCAGATTCTTGATGCGCAGAGCAGGGCAATCCTGGGTGCTGACACGGTGTGCACACCCGCTGGGCAGAGGACACAAGGGTCTGCGCACTATCCTGGGGCCCAGGTTGTGTGTTTGACTGGCTAAGAAGCCCTCGGTCGAATACAACTCGCTCGACGTTTCCCCATTTGCTCGCGCTCGCGTGCCTGATGTCTTCGAGGGCGCGCCCCACCTGCCTGTGCCCGACGAGTGGTTGGCTCCAACGCTGCGGAGGAGGAGAAGAGGCCGACTGAGGGTCCCGAAAATTGGGAAAGAGGAAAAAAACATGACGGTGGCGCACCAGAGAAGACCGCAGCCGTGGGTCGAAGGCATCTCGCCGACCTTCGTCCTCTCCCGCTGCATCTGGCAGCCTGGCAGCAACTTGCTCTGCAGTGCCCCGGCAGCCTGGACCCTGACCAACCCTGCCTGCGCACCGCCGTCGCGGAGCAATCCCTCCAAACCTCCGCACCGAGCTGCGTGCGGCGCGCGCTGCCCCCCACCGCGATGGTACCGCTCGCACGCAGGCAGCGGCATCGTCCGGAGAGGAGGGAGGAGTCCGAGCGGCCCTCGACCTCCACCCTTCTAGACCTTTCGACGGCACGCAAGAGTGACCATTGGCGCGCGGCCTGCTGATCGCTGCGTGCGATACGGCAGTGGTGGCCTGGGTTTGGCCCCAGCGCGCCCCCAGAAAGCCGCGTACCAAAGGCCACTCCAAGGAAGGGTAACTCTTGCGCGCAGCCGAACCCCCGACCCTGCGCGGCAGCGCCTGCGGCCGCCGCTCGCGCGGGTGCCTGCCACCGCGGAATTCGGGTATCTTCTGACCGACCCGGGTCAATCCAGACCCGGGTCAATCAGGCCTTGCAAAATCCTGCAAGATTCTGCGCCCAAACCCGGGTCAATGCGACCCTGGCCCTGCGTGATCCTGCAAGATCGGGCTCTCTGGCTGACCCCCGCTTGCATTGGCCCCCCGCCTCAAGGCTCCCGAGGAGTGCGTGGAAGCCGCTGGCCGGTGGAGGACGGAGCCTTCGTGGCTCTCTGGGCCCTCCCGGGCAAAGGCCGCGGAGGCCTCCGCGGGCCTCCGGCGAGCCCTGCCCGGGGGGGCCCCGGGGCGCGCCAGAGCGACATGGCGGGCGCGGGCGGAGAGGCGAGGCCCCCGACCGCTCCCTGAGACCGCGGCCGCCGCCGCCGCAGGCCTGCGGGGGCGCCTCCTGAGCCTTTTCGCGGCCTCTGGATGCCGCCAGGGCCCTGCGGAGCCGCGGAGGCCTCCGCGGGGACCCTCGGAGGCCTCGGGGGGCCTCCGCCAAGGTCTCGCGGCGCCCGCCTGGACGCCCCTCTCGAGATGCCGCTCCACGGTCGCCCGGAAGGCGTTCTTGAGCAGCTCCCGCACCATGTACTTCACGTGCCGCGGGATGTAGTCCAGAACCACGTCCTGCTGGGCTTGCTGGAGCAACAGGGAGCACCCGAGGTCACTTGCCCTGAGATCTGGACGTAATTAGCAAGTTTGTCACACCAGGCCTCTTCTTTCGCCCGTTTTGGGGCCCCTTGGACCATCACGAGGATCGATCGGGCTCGAGAAATGCAGCCGAAAGACGGGGTGCAGGGCTCCGGTCGTGGATTTTGCCGACGTGGTACCCTTTTCGCGACGTCGGCTCTCAGGGTGCAGTCGTGCTTCGCACGCCGCGCGAAGCGCAATCATTTTCGCGCTCTCGCGCCACCAGTTTACCCCCCGAGAAGGGCCTTCACGCCAAGAGGTGCGTCGCGCCCCTGCGGGTGACCAAGGAGCATGTGGTGAGGATTGGGCTTCTCGTCCGTCCTCCCCCCATGCCCTCCTCTCCTGCTCCCAGGGTAGGAAGACGCTAGCCCATGCGCCTGCACCAACTGCTGACCTGGCCCGTTCTGGGCCCAAGATGGTGCATACGCCATCGTGGCTCGGGGAGGAAGGCGCATACACAACGACCGGTTTAGGTGTATAGTCCACGCCCCCCGACATGGGGGAGCGATCTCAGTGACAAGAAGAGGGGACATCTCACTTCGTACCTCCATGGTTTGGGCGATCTGGTCCTGGTCCCCGCGGTACCTGACCTCCGGAGCCACACCGTAGACGGCAGTGGCCAGGTCGACCAGCTCGCTGGCCAGCTCGCACACTACGTCCATGATGCGCATGCCTTTGCGCACGACGCCGACGAAACCGTCCCTAGGGCTCCGCATCTCCACGTAATTGTCCATGAGGATCCTCGTGGCTATTCGTGAGGTAAAATGGGTATCCAGGAACCCGTCGAGCCGGATGGACGGATATAGTCGCCTGGCCTCCCTGTAGCCCTCGGCCACCAGCCTGGTCCCGCTGTGGTGCTTCTGCAGCTCGGCCTGGATGACCTGCTGAAACTGCGCCTCGTCCTCCTCTGTCCGAACAGGCGGATGGGTCAGGGCCGCCCGGCCCGCAGAGGTCGTCATGTTCGTCCATCCCCTCCCCTCCCATGGCCTCGGGACCCCCCTCCGCAGGGCAGAGGGGGAGGGGTATGAGGCACACGAGGGGCGGAAGGAGGGAGGACGAACCTCACCGAGCCTGCGGTCTTGCCGCCCTGCATGGGAGGCCATGGCCTCGAAAGTCTGCAGGTACGCCCCGAGCACGGCCTTGACCTGCGGGATGCTCACGACCACGTGGGGCAAGCGCACCAGATCCGCGAGCCCCTACTCTTCCGGGGGGGAAGGGGGGCAGGGGGGCAAGCGTGCGAGGAGGTGCTTGGCTGCTCCCTGTGGTTAGGTCGGGCGTGTCCTCCTACTGAGGGGGTTTTGGACGAACAATTTTTGAAAGCCCGAAAAATACCCCAACAATGCCCCAAAGTGTTCAAGAAATAATGAAAACAATCGTCCCCAGACAATGTTTTGACTGTTTTTTGAATATTCCTTCTGTAGAGGGACGGGCCCGACTTCAGGCTATGGCGTTTTTTCTCCTTCGACTGGCTGCTCCCAATGGTTGTGGATGCCATGACAATGGACACTCTAACAATCTGATCATTGAATTAAATATGTGCTTAAAATGTGTAAACCATGTTCTAAACATGTGTCATACATGTGTTTAATATATTAAACACAAATTTGGAACATCGTTTAGACATCTGGAAATTATTTGGCAACATGCTTCCTCGCCATTAAACGACTTCCACAACCCCATGTCAGAACGCCCCTGTACACCACCACAGTGCCTCACCGAGCCCGCACTGGGGGCTCCCTGGCATGGTGCACGCGCCCCCCTGGCCCAGGCAAGGAGGTTTAGCTCGAGGGCAGAACATCCGCCCCGAGAAATATAGGGAGCCCACAAAAAGGACGTGCGCGACCAACTACAATCGAAACGCTGTCATAAGGAATCCACGATAAGGAACGAGGCCCCTTTTCTCTGTAAGTGCAACTTCGATATCCCATAGAAGAACTAAGGACCACCTGAGACAAACTGTATAACAATCGAGGAACACTGATCCGCTCCCAACTAAAAAGGGTTCCTTCTTCAGCGACCCGACTGTATGTACACGAACACGGCACCTCGATCCGCGAGACTGGCCGCGCGATGCGAACATTCGGGCAGTGCGTTCTCTCGAAACCAAGCGTAGATTCATGTGCGTGTACGTCCTTCTTTCGTTCCTGATCATAACCACCCCGACACGCGAGGCTCTTAGTAACCGCGCCCAAAGGAGGAATCGAACAGGGCAGGGCTGTTGCGTGAACGCCCAGGGCCGTTTAGTAAACGACAATTGTCGGGTCCAGGTGTTTTTTCCTCCCTTGATCACCGGAGGGCCGAGCATGGGCCCTGGCCAAGCATGGTGGTGGATGCTCCCTGCGGGTACCAGACCAGGCCAAGGCCAGGATACAAAATCGGACCAGCGCAAATCGAGACTGTGAGATCTGGCGGATCCGGAGAACGGGTCGTGCGCCGCGGCCGTTCCAGGAGCACTCCTTGGAACGATCTGAGAGTGTCCCGGAACGCTCTGGAACGCTTTATCTGGGTCCTAGCCCCCCAGATCCCTTTCCACCAAGTCCCCCGTCCCCTGGGGTTCGAAGGCATCAATCGATGGGGGGCTTCGAGGTGCCCAGGACAACCGTCATCGACCAGTCGACCTCCCCGTGGGGTTTCGGGTTGTCGGCGAGGAGGCGCTCGCCCCAGGGATCCTGCCGCCCTCGTGCGCCCAGCCCTGGGGCGTGCGGGACAGGCCCCTGAGCTCGCAGGTCAAAGCTTCAGCCGCGCGCGCGCGCCCCCCCGCCGCCCTCACTTGCCTGCAGACAAAAAGTGTGTGGCCACAGCGCGGCGCAACCGCACAGACGTCGGAGGGCCCGCGAGGACATCTCGGGGGTCGGCGCCGGGCCCCCTCTCCTGATGGGCCTGCTTCCCACGAGCTACCACCACCACAAGATGGAAGGGGGGGAAGGAGGAGGAGGAGGAGGAGGAAGAGGAGGAGGAGGAGGAGGAGGAGGAGGAGGAGGAGGAGGAGAAGGAGGAGGAGGAGGAGGGGAACCCCCTCCCCGTCCAACGTATGGCGGTGGTGGTGGAAAGCAGGCCCACCACCCTCCCCCGCCCTCCTCCCCGACGTGTACTAGCGCGGGGGGGGGGGGCGGGGGGCGGCGGCGGCGCCGCCACGGGTCAATGGGGAAAGGGCGGGCGCCCGACGCGGACTCCCCGAGCGGAGGTGGAACGGCGCCAACAACAGAAAACACATCCGCCGCCCTGGGGCAGTCGTCCTAGGTCGGGCGTGTCCCCCTGCAAGCGGATTTGGGGCAGATAAAAGAAACAGTCAAACATAATTATCAAAACATGCCCCCAAATACTAAAAAAACGTCCCCAGGCTATTATTTTGACTATTTCGGAAGATTCCTCCAATAGAGGGACAGGCCCGATTTAGGAATCGTCCCCGACGGCTGGAACAACTACCTTAGAACATCCTTCGCCGGCCAAGACCCAAGAGCGGTGCGCGGAGCTCTGAAAGCGCATGGCTGCATCGTCCCCTGCGGCCCGAGAACCCGAACAAGGGCGGGCGGTGGACGCGAAGCGCCTCGAGCTCCTCGATCCGCCGCGCGAAGCGGATGGGCAGCTGCTGCCGCAGCCACTCCGCCAGCCAGATCCTGTTGTGCAGCTCCGGGGTGGTGGCCTCCAGCAGGTGCGCCAGCGACAGCGCCTGCAAGGCATGCTCGCGCCGTTTCCGCCGCCGGCGCTATCGCCGCCGAAGCCGATGCCACCGCCGCCGCCAGCGTCATCGTCGTCGTCCTCGTCCCATCTCCCCCCCGCTCCTCCTCCTCCTCGTTCCTCGTTGTCGTGATGTGTTCCATCCACCTCCTCTGACCATGCTCGTTTTTTCCTCGTCTTCCTTTGCAATCGCACATCCTGAATACTACTCTCCTCTCTCCCGTGACCCCGTCCGGAAAATAGCCGGCCCTCTCCGCGCACTGTATCTTGCACCGTAGATTTCAAACGTTTGCTTATCATCTTGTTTGTCTGCATCTGATCGTTTCCGTTGTTTCCAGATGGCGTTCCCGCTGCAGCGTGTGCCTCATGTTTGGGTCGGCGCTGTGCTCCCGTCGTTCCGGATGGCGCTCTCGCCGCGGCGCGGGCCACGCCTCTGGATCCGAATCCTTCTTTCTCGTTGTCGTCCCCCTCCTCTGGCCTCCTCCGCCTCTCCCTGGTCATCCTGCTCCTCCCGCTCCGTCCACTTTGGCTGCTAATGCTGCTGCTGCTGCTGCTGCTGCTGCTTGCTCGCGCCGTCGCCTCCCGAGTGGGACGGCAAAGCCGGAAAGGCATGTCGGTTCACGTCACTTCACGCAAAGAGTTGGCAGACTGGCGATCGCTTCTCTGAAGCCCATTCCCATCGGGGCCGCGTGAAATTCCGAGCCCGCCGATGCTTGACAAACTGGGCGACTGATGTGGCCGCTGGCTCTTCACAGCAGGCGGACAGGCGATCCGACCCATGGGGGCAGGCAGGAGGGGGAAATGAGAGGCAGAGAAGCGAGCCGAGCCAGCGAACCAGCACGGCAGCATGCAAGAGCGGAGGAGACAAGAGCCCACACCACGAGGGAAACGCCTGCAGAAAATGCGGCAAAAGATGTTCAGGCAAATCCCAGGAATTTGCCTGAGCATTTTGTTTCCGAATTTTCTGCAGCCAGCGCCGCAAGCAGCGCAAGCAGCAGGCAACAACCCATGGGTCAAAACAAAAACTGGAGGGCAGCGGATCCCCAGGCCCACGTTTGGGTGGGGCCTGGCACCACTGCGCGCGCGATTGCATGTCTGAGCTGTTGGACAACGATGGCAGACACGCGAGCACCAGGAATCAGAAGGCGCCAGCGCCAGCCACAGCTGCCGGGCGGCACGCTCCTGTCCCAAGTTGGATTCGGACGGACAGCGCTTGCCAAAGAGCTGCTGGGCTCACTCCGGCCCGGTGCGCGAGCGACCGCACGACCCTCTGGGCTGCCTCGCCCGGGGCGCCCTCCCGCCTCGATGGCGACGGGCGTGATCTGGAGGCCTGCGTACCGAGTCAGCTTGCCCCTCTCAGCAGAGGCAGCAGCCACGCCCTCTCTGCCAGCAGCCGCGCGACAACGAGCAAGGTCGTCGCTGCCAGCGTGCACGATGGCAGTGTCGATGGCGACGACCCGGCCGCTCTCATGCCACAGAACGTCGAGGATGTCGGCGCGGTCGTCCTCATCCCGGGGCCCCGCGCCAGCGACCTGCGCGACCGCTGCGCCCGCGCCGCCGGCCGCGCGACGGAGGCTGTCTATGCGCTGCTCTTTCAGAGCGTGTGGGTCGATGTGCTTCTTGACCCACTGTAGCAGAAAATCTCGCACGTCGTTGTGGGCTCGAACAATGCCGCCGCTGCTGCTGCTGCTGCTGGTCGTCCTCGTCCTTCTCCTTCCTCATTCTCCTCCTGCTCCGCCTGCTCATCCTCCCGCTCATCTGCCACCTCGTCCTCCAATGCACGCAACTACTTTTTCGGATTGCGCATAAAACGGTGGGGTCCTCTTTGAACTTCCAGGCTCACGTGTCGGCGGATAGAGAAAGCACAGCGCAGTGGGTAGAATGTCAGATATGGAGCGGGCGCCCCTAGCTTTTTCCTTCTCCCCATCTCCATTCCGCCACCCCTCGCTCACTCCTCCCCCTCTCCCCACCTCATCCGCCTCCTCCTCCTCCTCGTCCTCCTCCTCCCCCTCCTCCTCCTCCTCCTCCTTCTCCGTATACCATGTGTACGCATAATCTCTCCTCATCCGCATTAACAATTTCGTCTCTCTCGCCACCTTTCCCTGCTCCTCCCCCTCCCCTCCTCCTCCCCCTCCCCCTGCCCTCCTCCTCCCGCTCCCCCTCCCCTTCCTCCGCATCTTCCTCTTTCTCCTCATTCTCCCCCTGCTCCGTGGAAGGAGGGGAGGACATGGAGAAGGCGCGCGGTGGGGCACAGGGGGAAAAAGGGACAGCGCGGGAGGAAGAAAAATTAACCTCGGCATCGTCGTCCTTCTCCTCCTTCCTCTCGCACTTCTCCACCTCCTCCTCCTCCTCCTCCTCCTCCTCCTCCTCCTCCCCATTGCTTCTCCTCCTCCTTCTTGAGACGGTAGGTGATGTGGTCGTCACGGGCGTCTCCAAAGGAGACCCCGCGTAGCTCTGCGCGGTCTGCGCCGGGACGCGGGGATGCATTGGCGGTCAGCCAAGGCACACTACTCTGCTTCGCCCTGCCACTCCGCTCCCCCATTCCGTCCTCCTCCTCTGCCTCCTCCGCCTCCTCCTCCTCCTCTTCCTCCTCCTCCTCTCTCTCATCCTCCTTTTTCCTCTTGGCTCCTCACCAAGTTCCTCCTTCTTCCCCTCCCCTTTCCTCTTCCTCCTCCTTGCCGTCCATTCTCCCTCCCCGTCCCATTTCCTTGCCCTCTTTCCCCGCCCCATCTTTCTCCCTAACGCACGTAACTCCTCCGCACAATCTTCCTCGTCCCCCGCCCGCTTCAATCCTCCTCCCCGCCCATCTCTGCTTGCATGGGGCGCCAACATCTTGCGACCACTTTCCAAAGCCTGGCTTCTCATCCCCAAATGGCGAAGAGGGAGAGAGAGAGAGAGAGAGAGAGAGCGACCGAGAGAGAGAGAGAGAGAGAGAGCAGAAGACACGCACAAACACACACACACACACTACATGTAACTCATAGAGCACGAACAAGCGAGAGGGGCAGGGGGAGAGAGAGACAGAGAGAGGGAGAGAGGCACAGAGAATAGAGACACACACACACACACTTACTCCCTCTCTCTCTGTCTCTCTCTCTCTCTCTCTCTTTTTTTTTTTCTCTCTCTCTCTCTCTCTCGCTCTCACACAGAAGCGAGCGAAGAAACACACGGACCGTGCAGGGGGCCCGAAAGGACACGCCGAGGCCCCCCCGGGAGGGGGCGCATCAGGCGAGAGAGCGGGCGGCCCTCGCCGCGAACACCCAGGAAGCGGCCGACGTGCGGCACAACAACCACAGTGCCATCCATGGCCGTGGCCACGCCGCCAGTGCAAAGGAGCCCCAGGACACACACACAATCACACACACTCACACACAATCACACACAATCACACACAATCACACACAATCACACACAATCACACACAATCACACACAATCACACACACGCACACACACACATATATATATATATATATATATATGTATGTATATATATATATATAAGTACACACAGATTCCAGGATTCCCGATATTTTCCCATTCCTGGGTTTTCGTCTTCCCCCCCCCACTCCCCACAGTTTCGCATCTCTTCATGGGAGTCGAGAATTAATCGTGTCTGGGGCCGGGCAGGGTCCTCCGGCAGTCTTCGGCCCCCACCTGGACAGGCAGACGGGCAGAAGCCCTGCGCCAATGGCGCGTCGGCAAGACCTGCACTCATGCACTACCTGCACTGAAGTCGGGCCTGCCCCTCTACAGGGGAAGATCACACAAATAGTCCAACAACAGTCTTGGGACTATTTTGCAGTACCTTTTTAGGCATCTTTTGAATAGTTTTGAATATTTTCTATTTTTCTTCCAAAATCAGCCTGTAGGGGGACAGGCCCGACCTGAACCCACACATCTGTCTCAATCTACGTCTCCAAACGTGAGGATCCTGAACAAGATCTTGCAATCGGCCCGACTTGAAGAACGACAGATCAGGAACGAGGCGCCTTTCTCCCAGGCAAGTCTACGAAGTCCGAGGGAGCACCAAGGGGGCTCGCCGCCAAAAAGGTAGCGGCACGCATGCAAACCAGAGGAAACACACATGTTCCTTATTCAAGCCGGACCCTGTAGCTTTAGGCCGGGCAGGTCCTCCTGCAGGCGGCTGCTGGCAGAAGAGCCAGAAACGTAGTCAAACTTAGCACATCAAAGCTCGACACATCGTCACCATACTATCATGATGATAGGAGGAGGTGGGCGTGAAGAGGAGAGGGTGTGCGAAGACTGCGCGGGGTGTCCAGAGAACGCAAGGACCCCACTCAGGATGTGAGGACAAATCGCACACACACACACAGAAAAGCACGATAAATCGTCACCATAGTTACTATTCTGAGCTATTTTTGAATTTGCCTCCATGAGAAGGATGTGCCCGATTAAAAAATAAAACTAGCCCTTACTTCAACGTCTTGACTGTATCCGATTCTTCGTGGCGCCTGATCCGGGGGCTGATTTGATTGGGCGTCTAGAAGACCTCAGCGATGGGGTCGGAGCAGATGGGGTCGGAGGATCGCGCCGCATCGCCGATGCATCAGCGATGCAACGGAACGGCGACGTCGGCGATGCATCGCCGCCGTCGGCGTCGAGAAGCTCCACGTCGAGCCGCATCGCTGATGCACTGAAGTGCTGCGCGGTCCTCCGACCCCATCTGCTCGGACAGCCTCTGGGAGGCCCAGGGCGTCGGGAGGGAGGGAGAGAGGGGGGAGGGGAGGGAGGAGAGGAGGAGGGAAGGACGAGGAGGAGGAGGAGGAGGAGGGGGAGGAGGAGGAAGAGGAGGAGGAGGAGGAGGAGGAGGAGGAGGAGGAGGAGGGAGGAGGGGGGAGGGGGGAGGAGGGGCCGCCACGCCCTGCCTCGACGTTCGCCCGGGCGGCGCCGCGGATGCGGGAGAAGCTGTGCGGCAGGCTGGCCAGCGCCATGGCCGCGTGCCGGACGGCCGCGTCGTGTGGCGGGGGCGCTGAGGGCGAGCGAACGGGCGGGGGGGGGAGAGGCGCATCGACCTCCTCCTCGTCCTCCTCCCCCTCCTTCTCCTGCGGCCCTGGAAGGCGAGGGGAGTGCGGAGGAGGTGGGGGGGAGGGCGAGGTGGGGCGTGGGATGCGGTGGGTGTATGAGGCCGCTTTCAATTTGGCTGCCTCTGCCGACCCTCATCTGCCGCCTCAACTCTCGACTTCTCCCTCCCCCTCCTCCTGCTCCTCCTGCCCCTCTCCCTCTTGGGTGTGGGTGATCTCTACTGTCTAACTCTGGGCGTCAGCAGCAGCAGCGCGGCAGCCAAGAGATAATCAGACGAAACGATGTCTTATCATGAAGGCCGCTCGCGCATCAGGGAGGGCCAGGTCCTTCTCAGAGACGACATGCAATGCGTACGATCTGCACTTGTATGCAAAAAGCCGGCAAGACACACGGTTGCCTGAATCCTCTCCCTTCTCCTGGGGGGCCCGATTTCGCTACTCCCCAGTCTTCCAGTCCTCCTCCGCGGTGAGCTCTGACCAAGATTTCGAAGCCGATCCAGCGATGGCGACGAGGAAGGGTAGCAGTATCAGCACCTTTTCTTCTTATGACCTCATCCAATCCCTCCCTTCCTCCCTCCTTCCCTCCATGCGCGCGATCCGAGAGGGGCTTTCCTGGTGGCGTTGACCCCCAGGCGCAACCGAGGCGCCCGCCCTGTCTTCCCCCTCCCACCCTCCTCCAGGAGTGCGTGCGAGCGAGAGGGAGCAGGGCAGCGGGAGTCGTCAGTGCGCCCCCGGGGGGGAAGGCAGACCGGGGCCGGGCCTGCTCAGAAGGCTCAAACGGGTTGCTACTATCTGAAAAGCTGTCTGAATAGACGAGCGCGTTCCGCTACTCGCAAAGTAGCTACTCGCAAAGGGCCTGGATCTGCCGCGGGGGATCCACGATAAATTACATAGACGCAGACATGTGTTTTTGTTCGGGCGTTTGCGAGTAGACACTTTGCGAGTAATAGTGGAACGCGCTCGGTGACTAAACCATCTCCGGGGCCACAGAGCGCTTCCCGAAGCTGGCCGGAGGGCGTCTCCCTTTTCCCCCCTCGGTGCACCGCCTCTCTCGTCGTGGAACAAGCGCGCCGGCACATGCTTGGCCAGGGGCCCTCTTCAGTCTGGGTGACCCAAAAGGGGGTCCAGCTGCAAAAGGCGGGGTGCAATAGATTTGGGGCAACTGAACTGCACATGTATAGCGCCGGAGAAGTGGATTGCATTGTGTTGCGGCGAAAGTCTTGCACACGAGCATCCAGCAATACATTTGCGCGCCGAAGGTCGTGCACGCCCCACATGTATTGCAACCCCACAAATCGATTGCACCAAATCTAGTGCACCACCCCCTTGTCGCTGGACCCCCTTTTGGGTCAACCCGATTCAGGCCCCTGGACCGTAAGAGCTATTCGGAGTGCAAAACCAAACTCCGGGAAGTTAACTCTGGGAGGTTGTCTATACCTCTGGGTTCCAAGTTGCGAAACAAGACTCGCAACGTCGGAGAGCCTGGAGGGAAGACTGTGCATGTTGTTCGTGGCGCGCGCCGCGTCGTTTTCGGGATGAGCCCCGATCAATCAAATCCTCTGCAAGCCAAAACCAACAAAAAACGATTCACACCCGCAATGCCGCAAATTCTGCGGGAATCGGAAGACAGCGAGTCGTGCGTTCCGTGCAATGAGTAACGAAACGAAAAGTATAAAAGCTGTGGCTCTTCACCACATCGCAGAACCAACGCGCCTGTCCACGCGGCACGTCATTACTTGGACTTCACGAGGTCGTCGATGATCGAGTAGAGGAACACGCCGCCGATGCCGATGCCGCAGCCGATCAGCTTCAGCGGGTCGAGGCTCTCCCCGAGAATGATGGCGACGCCCACGATGACGATGACGCGCTTCGCGGTGTTGGCGACGGACTGGGTGACAGCGCTCGTCTTCTTGATGGTCATTGTCGCGAGCTCGTTGTAGGCGTAGAACCAGAGACCCGACGCGATCATGTTCCACAAGACGATCTTGCTCGTCTTGCAGAGCTGGAGGAAGGCACCGAACTTCTTCCCCTCGGTGGCGAACATGAGCACGAGGCAGAAGAGGAACGAGTTGATCATCGTGATCGCAAACTGGTTACCCACGCCGCCCAAGCGGTCTTTCAGGCCCTCCGTGTCCATCAGCTTCTTGTTTTCGTTCGCCTTGAACGCGGCGAAGACGTTGGCGAGGGCCGCCGTGAAGAGCGCGGCCCATGCGAAGTCCAGCTCGCCCAGGGACGCCAGGACCACGCCGCCGATCACCGGAATCAAGCACAACCACTTGGCGGTGCTCACCTTCGAGCCGTAGAACAGGGTCCCGATCAGCGCCGCAAAAGCCGGCTCCGCGGCCTTCACGATCTGGCCGAAGGAGACGGCCCCGGCCGAAAGGGCGAACACGGAGAAGGCGTGGGCGGCCGCGGAGCAGAAGCCCACGGGCAGCGTGGCCTTCCAGTCGTCGAAGGTGATCTTCGGGAGGGCGCGGGCGTCCGGGTAGCCCCACAGGAAGAGCGCCCAGACGCAGCCGAAGCCGAGCTGCATGGTGGCGATGGACATGGGGAAGCCGGTCGCGCCCCCCGCGGCGTTCAGGGCGAGCTTGTTGGTGATGTTGTAGTAGTAGTTGCCCAGGTACCAGAAGAGAAAGTAGGCGAGCAAGACGAAGTCCACCCCCTTCCTCTGCGGGGACGGCAGCGACAACCCGGCCGCGGCAGGCACCCCCTGGAATTGAGGCGTCGTCGCCGCCGTCGTCGTGGTCGTCGTCGGAACCGTCGTGGTCGTCGGACTTGGGGGAGGAGGAGGACGAGGAGGTGGAGGAGGAGGAGAAGACGGCCGGAATAGGGAGGATGAGAGGGTTCGAGGTTGGAGGGGGAGGGGGGGGAAAGGTGAAGTCGGGCGTGTCCCCCTACAAGGAGGCTTTCGTCGAAAAATAAGAAATACCCCAAAGATGCTCCAGAATGGTGAAAAAATACTCCAAACATAATCCCCAGACTATTTTTGGACTATTTTTGAATATTCCTCCTGAAGAGGGACAAGGCCGACTTAAGGGAAAGGCTTAAGGGAGAGGCTGAGGAGGGAAAGGCACCCAAGACCCGCAGAGGGTCCACCCTGCTCCCTCACCTGCCAGGTTTTCTCACAGCGTGGGCGCTCTGAGGTTCAGACTTATGTTGCTCTCATCGTACTTAAGGACCACATCCCAGAAATAATTTCGAGCACCTGGAAAGGTGTCGAAAGAGTGTCAAAAGAGTGTCGAAAGAGTGTCTCCCAGGGCCCGGCACGTGAAAATCCTCCAGTTTCGGCACCTTGCTCCTGGTGCTCGAAATTCTTTCTGGTGGTCAAGGCTAAAGTAGGTTGGAACATCATAAGTGTAGACCTCTTCCCCAGCGCAACTTCCCAGCCCCGAACCGATTCCCGACGGTCCAGGGGCTCCAGTGTCAGGTCGGGCATGTCCCCCTGCAGGCGGATTTTTGGGGCGAACGCTGCAAAATAACCAAACATCATTCATCCAAAAAGTACCCGGAACAGTAAACAGATCGCAGCGAGACCATTTACAAAAAACATAAAAACGTATTCGAATATTCCTCCAGTAGGGTTGTGGATGCCACGACAATGGACACTTTAACAATTCCATCATTCAATTACAGATGTGTTCAACATATGGAAAACATGTTCCAAACATGTTTCAAGCATGTTTTTAACACATTTAAAGCATATTTAAAACATCTTTCCGACATCTGGAAATTATTAGGCAACATGTTTCTCTCCATTGGTCGACTTCACAACTGCAGGGGGACAGGCCCGACGTAACCCCAGCGAGGACCCCCGCAGGCCCAAGAACCGTAGAAAAGCTGCCGCCGCAATCCCTGCCACGCCGAGGGGCGGCCCAGGGCCTTCTGTTCGGAGCAGGGAACAGGCGACACCAACACCACCAGGGCGAGGAGATGCGAGGAGCAAGGGGGGGTCCCCGTCAGGGCTGAACCTAAACGGTGTTTTTTCGTTTGCGTTTTGTTTTCGTTTTCCCTCGTTTTGTCTTCAGTCCGCCTCTACCGCAAAACGAACTCGAAACGAAAACGGCCCACGAACTCGCCCAAAACACCGTTCAGGTCCAGCCCTGAGACGCGAGGAGCAAGGGGGGTCACCCTGGTGGTGTGGTCCCCCCTCTCGCTCGAGGCATCCCCGGCCTCCAGCTCGGGGAGGCTGAAAGGGCCCTGGGACACACAAATAAATACACACTAATAGACAGATTCCCCATATTTTCCCGTACTTTGTGGGTTTTGGTGGTCTTGGTGCCGCTCCTCCTCCCTCCGAGCCGTCCTCCGACCCTCCGACCGCCCCTCCGACCGCCGAGAGGCTGGGCGGCCTCCCACGGTGAGATCCGAGCAGCGGGGGCCATGAGTCGAAGACGGCGAACAGGACTGGCTCAAGAGTTTGGACGCCCGAAATGGGTACGGAAAAAATGGGTACAATGACCAACAACAAATGTTGTCCCGAACCAACAGCGGCCGCTGATGGGCAGGCGGCCTTCTGTCTCAAACGGACACAGCCGCGGCGGCGCGGACAGCGAGTCCTGTTCAGAATGAGCAGGAACTTCTGTTGGGCATTGTACCCATTCTTTCCGTGCCCATTTCGTTCGTGCAGAGAGAGGGGCGTCTTCGACGGCTGCTGGGGCGCCTCAGGTCGCGCTGGAGTCTCCGAGGCCGGGCGGCGGGGACCTCGAGCCCGGCGAACTCATCCTCGTCCAACGAGCCCTTCAGGCAGCCCCCGATGGAGGATCGCGCCGCATCGCCGATGCACCCCGGATGCGTCGATTTGGCGATGCACCAGTGACGCTGGCGATGCACCATCGACGCCGGCCCGACGTCGGCGTGGAGAGAATCGGGCCCCACTCTTGAGCAAGGGCCGACCCCGCCCCTGCAATCCTATAGGCATACCACGACATGTCCTTAGAACCAAACATGGCCGAATAGCAGAAACGATCTTCCTAGAACGTAGACCCGGTGTCATCAAACAAGGAAGTCTCAGCCAGAGCTGTTCTGAGAACACTTCGTGCTCTTAGAACATTATTTGCTGGGCCTGTCGGCGAGTCAGGACGCTCCGCCACTGCTCGAACATCGATTCGCACCGCCGATGCATCGGGGCGACGCGGCGCGATGCTCCGGCCCGACGTGCGTCGAACCCACCAGGCCGGCCTGGATCCGTGGCGACGACAAGGGCAAGTAGCCCAGGGGCGGGCATTACACGCCTTCGCCCGGGAGTCTTCTCGAAGACATCGATGCTCGGCGCGCCCCTGGATACATGTATATTGCTCCCCCCCTGGGCTATTCGCCCCTCTCGTCGCCTCTGACTGGAGGGAAGCGACCTGGGCTACCATCCTCCGATTCGGCAGGGACCGACCGTCCTGGCATTCCTATAGTCCTCCCACGACATGTTCTTAGAACCCAGAAGCGTTCTAAGAACAAAAACAGTGTTCCTAGAACAGAAACCCGATGTGATAAAAAACACGACAGACTCCGCCAGAACTGCTCTGAGAACACCTCGCGGAAACCACAAAAAAGGTTCTTGGAACATGGATTGGAAGGGCTCTTCGGCGAGCCAGGACGCTTCGCCACTGCTTGCTCCGAGCCTCGATCCTCCGACCTCTCCTTCGGCGGGGCGCGCCTGGCGGGCGGGCCCGGCGACGGCGGGCCCCTGGCCGCCCGGGGCGCGCGCGCCCGCCAGGCCTCCAGCGGCCGCCCGGCTGCTGCCGCGGGGCGGCCGAGCCCACGGCGCCGGGGCGGCCCCGCTTGTCGGGAGCGGCCAAAAGAGGGGGGTGTCCTTAAGAGGGGGGGCGTGCGAGTCATGGCCGGCGGCATGTGCGCGGCCCAGCGGGGGGGCCAGGGACGTCATGAACTAAGAAGAGGCGCCATGAAACCTGGGGAAAGATCATGGCCCGCGCCATGAAATCCCCCCCCCAATCATCACCCCCCTCTTTTCCGCCCCCGAACTTCGACCGGGCCAGGGGGCCAGCTGACCAGGCCGGGACCACCGCGAATGCGGAAGCTCAGCGTGCGATTACAAAGTCCTGCACGTCGTTCGTTTCTGATCGTGCTCGTCTCGAACTGTGCTCGTTTCTCTGAGTGTTCCTGGCCCCCCAGGAGGGGCCAGGAAGAGGCCCAGGAGGGAACAATCAGAAGTGAAAGGATCTCGACCCCCCCCAAAAATCAAAGAACTTACGATGAATTAGAAATGAGCAGTGCGTATGTCAGCTCAGCCAGATCCCGAGCCCCGTTCAATCACCAATTGGTTTTCAGGGAAGGGGGCCCAGCGGCCCTCCGCGTAAGGGGCCCTGAGACACACAAATAAATACACAATAATAAACAATTTCCCAATATTTTCATATATTTTCTGGGTTTTTGTCTCCCCCCCCCTCCCCTATCTTCCCATACTTTCTTGGGAATCGACGATCAATTGTGTCTGCGTGTTTTTTCCCCTCCTGAATGTTGTACTGCAAAGGTGTTTGTGATCATCCGCTCATATTCCACATTGTGCAGTCTCAGATGCCATGGCGTCCTCCGATGTTCGGGGACACGCAGCGACGGCGACGACCACGGTCTCGACGTCGGCACGTGAGATGTGGTATATGATGACGAGCCGCAGGAGTGCTAGAGCGTCCCGAGGCACCGAGACCGACACATGAGACCTGGAGAGAGAAAGGAAACGAGCAGCGTCACATTCCAGCAGCAGGCACCTGTGATCCACGATGGAACCAACAACACACGACCTCATGGGGTGGAACACGGAGCGGACCGTACTCAAATCGGAGAGCTTGGGATTGGCCAAGCGTAATGTACGGCGGCTCGGGCATCTTCGTGGAGAAGCTCAGCATGGTCGAGAGAGGGTCAGAAGCTGGACTAGATCGATGCGTACAGTCAC